ATAATTATCTTACATTTCGTGTTTAATATAACACCTAATTAATTAAATTAAGATTAAGGATATTGAATAGATTACTTCTAAGTATTATATTATTGTTTTTCTCCAAACTAGTTTGCCCGGTTTATAAACTTATATATAATCTAATGATACATATACATATTTTAGAGAGATTATATAATATATGCTATAATTAAGCATACTTTTTAATTTTTTAAATTAGTTAATTAGATCATATATTAAGGATTTGAGCAGTAAGTACCTTAGGACATAGAATGTAGCTGGCAAATATCAAATCATAAGTGGTGTGTAGTTGGGGCATGATATCACTTGTAGAAGCTTCGACTTTTCAGGATCCAACATTCTTAATTTTGTTGATTTAGAAAATGAAAAGTGTAAATTGCAAGAATTAAGGCGTTCATGTTGGGCTTAAACTAGTTTTGTTATATGATGTGAATCTCATCCATCATATCCGTTCCAATTTTACGCCTTCCAGCCTATACACATGACCTGTCATTAAAGCCGAGCCAACAAAGCATTTTGTCACCCACCATTCTTCTTTCCATTGACTTTGTTCAACCAAAATTTGATTCTTCTTCAGGCTATACTTTTGTAACCTAATTTTGTTTTGATATAATTTAATTTCGAATGCTTTGTACGCTTTTACTTATGCCTAAATTCTATTATGTTTTAATTTATTCTCCAAATTTATCATGAATTCGTTTCATCCATTTATATTGCAAGGTGGTCTGGAATTTTGAGTGATGAAATGATCCTGATATAAAAAAAAAAAACAGTAATATTTCAAAAGTTAGACCAAAACAAAAATCAATGTAAAGTACTAAATAGGAAAATTTCTCCAACAAGGATGTAAACCTTGGTGAGTTCCCAACTCCCATTAGGTTGTGTGACTCTAATTTTAACTTCGAATTCAGGTTTATGATGATGGTATTGTTTGGGTCAAACATTGTGTTTGATTAAGCTTTGCCCTATCTGTGTGTTTTTTTTTGGGGGTTTTGGAACTATTTGATGATGTGTTGTTGTTTTTCACTAAGCTAAAATACTTCTAGTGAAAAAAAAAAAACAATGAAAGGAAAAGCAAACCTATTGATATATGAAAAAAATAATAAGAATTTAAATCTATTTCTGTTATTGCACATGCAACCAACCATTATTTTGTGAATTATATATAAAAGTAGTGAGGGTTATGAAAGTGTTCGTTACTACTATATTTTGCTGGACCGAGCATATTGATACATTGAATTTTTTTTTTTGAATGATGATACATTGAATTATTGAATGTGAGAGGTCCCCCCCCCCCCATTTTTCTTTAAAAAAAAAAAGTTGAAGATCAGGAATTGAGCCAATCATGGGGAGAGGCCCACCCAAAGAAGCTTTGGCATCTTTTCGTAAATCCAATGAACGTATTTTCATGATACTCCCCAACTTTAGTGTTGTGGAATTCACTTCACCCATTCAATCATTTGCATCCTTCCTATTCATTTCAAACCTTCATGCTTTTATTATAATTAAACCCATAATATAAAAGCCTGTTATCTCACTAAAAAGCCTGCACAGTTTTTCATAACTGAAAAAAATCCTACGAGTTTCTTTCTTATTAACTAAACATTAGACTTGGATCGTGTCTCCACAGTGCTAGTTAGGTTCACTGCCTCTAAAACACCCAGGCATGTTCTAAAATTACCACAAAGTAATTTGAGTGAAGGAATAATTTCTCACAATGTGGCAAACTAAAACTCAAATTGCCACTTCAAACAAGATTGTCTTCGATGAAAAGATACCGATACCTAAAGGAAAAACAAGAAAGAAGAAAGCTACAAAGTGCGCACAAGATAAAGGTTCAAATTGTCTAACTGATACATTCCTTAATACTTTTGCAAGCTGCAAATCCTCCACAGATGGTACGTGAGTTTTCAAAAAAGAAAAGGGGCTTCAAATTTATGAACTATTAAATCTTTTTCTTTGTTCTGGTTTTATTTTTAATGCATAGGCACAAGAAATATAATTTAGAATCGTGGCAGTGGCCCAACTTAGTTTTTATTTGATCATTTCCCATGACGCGAATAAGTTAGTTAGAGCTGAAACGTTATGAAGCCCATCTTCATTAATAATAGGCCTGGCACTGTACACTGAAATGGGCCAAGTGGGCTGGGAAGAAATGAATGGGCTGAGCCTTTTAAAGTTAAGGAAAACGGATGTTATATCATGACAGAGCTTCCCGGCTCCATGCCCGAAGGCCGACATTACACCTAATTCAATTCCCACGACGACAAACTGAGGGAGTGTTTGGATAGAAACCAAACCATGGTTTCAGAAGTGTTTTTACGGATTACGAAGTAAATATGTAGAGGAGGTTACCTCGTTTTGTAAAAAAGTGCTTCTGAAACCACGGTTTTGAAGCACCCAAACAGGCCCTGAGCCTCTCCAATTTAACTTCACGCAACCTTCTAGGCCCTCACAGAAGAGCATTGTGGTGGTAAATACTAGTATATTCAAAGCTTGAAAAGTCTCCTATTTTAACATTTAATTTCAACCTACGTTTTTGCTTCGTCACATATAGTACAGATTTCTTTTCATTTCTACTTGTTCTTTTTTTTTAAAAATTTTTTTTGGCCAATTTCATATTTTGATTTGTTCCTGCTATCATCCTAATCCTATTCAAGGGGTTCAAGGCACTAAATATGGACTCTCAGCAGAGATTTGAACGTGACTAAACCCTTGGTTCATAGTTTGATTTTGTTCCAAGTTCCAACTTTCATGTCTCCTTCTCCACCTCCGAACCTTTTCTGTTGCCCGGTCTTTTTTTTGGCTTCATTTCAAACACCATGGAATACCTATAAATACCCTTTTCATAGTATACTTCCTGACTCGTCACCCCACCTGGCCCAGTGCATAAATAGTATTTAGCTCTTGTAGTTATTTCATTGAGGCGTGAGAGATAGTTGTGAATTCTGCAAAGTCGAAGCACTATTATAACACTTTCCACTCAATCGTTTCTCATAGAAATCGCGAAGGTTAAATATAAAGACGAAAGACTCAACTAGATATATAGGATACTGAAAACTTCACGAACTCATAACAGATTCACACATCATAACTACACATAGAGACAGCAATCCCAGCACGGCCGAGCCCCACCACGAACCCAGACCGTCTTCTTATTTTAGACTTCTCACAACCGTCATCCATTACAAAAGCAAGCAGAGTACTAGTTAGGTTCCGTTCAGCCGGTGATCTGAACGGCCTTCACGTCGGGCTTCTTGACGTCCTCCTTCGGGACTGTGACCGTCAGCACGCCGTTCTCCATGCTGGCCTTCACCTGCTCCACCCTGGCGTTCTCTGGCAGCCTGAACCTCCTGAGGAAGCGGCCGCTGCTCCTCTCCATCCGGTGCCACGTGTCGTTCTTGTCCTCCTTCTCCCTCGTCCTCTCTCCGCTGATCTGCAGCACCCTCCCCTCCTCGATCTCCACCTTCACCTCCTCCTTCTTCAGGCCCGGCAAGTCCGCCTTGAATACGTGAGCCTCCGGTGTCTCCTTCCAGTCAATGCGGGTGTTGGCGATGGCCGCCGTTTCGCTTGTCAGGTCTGATCGAGGGGCGGTGACGGCAAAGTCCTGCCATGGATCCCATACGTCGAGGGAGAAGGGATCGAAGACGTTGGTCCTGCGACCGGTGCCGAAGAAGCTTGGAATCAGCGACATTTTGCGTATGAATACAGTTGAGAGAAATTAACAACACAGTGATGATGAAGCTATGGGTTTGATATATATTTGCCTGAGCTGCTTATGGATGAGGAAAGAAGAGGAGGAGGGGATGTATTTATACACGAGGAGAAGGAGAAAGGGAGATAGTGGAGATGGTTCTGGAGAAGGAGAGAGAAGAATCAATCAACGGCGCGCAAGACAGTAGGACCGGGGTCTAGAGAGTTGGGGAGCACCGCGGGCGAAACAGAAAAGCAAAGTGAGCGATGCTTCCCGAATGTTTTGTACGTTTCTCAATTTATTTTGATATTTTCCCTCATTAAGCAGTGCCACGTCACAACATTCTGGTTTCTGCCAGGGGTTCCTTTTCACAATGATGATTGAATAACAATAATGAGATTTTTCAGTAAATTAACACGTAAGCATGTTCAGGATGAATACAAAGGAGTCTGATCGAGCTCGAAATGATGAGATTGAGGAAGATGAGCAAGGGCCTAGCGGACTCGTAGTCTAGCAGAAAAGGCCAACCTTCCCACAATTGGGCCGCACTCAGCAATCCTGGATCAACAGGCTCAACAGTCATCAAATCGGGCGGGAACATTTTTATGTATGATTGAAGGTAGGGGTGTTCACTCCCAGATATCCGTCTTGGTTCCAATCACTTTGGAAAGAAACAGTCCGATCCCCGTTCTATCCCGATACATTATTTTTACTCATTTTTAATATAATAATATTATAATTTTTACAATTTTACAATTTATAAGTTTTTGACTTTTTTCTGTATGGGTTATATAATATTTTTAGGGGATATTTATATCAATTATTGTTCTGATCCGTCCTATGAACACTGTAGTTTAAAGAAGATTTTTATCAAAAGGCCGCATCTGTTTCAGTTAACCAACATTCAATTTTTGATATTGGCCAACTTAACGTAAAAATGAAGCTGCCCATGAATTTTCTTCTCCATTCATCGTTTTCTGAAATATAATAATAAAAATTAAATTTATACAATCGTTGTGCATTGTGTAGTTCAGCGCAGAGAGCCAATGCCACGAGTCCACTCAAAGTCCCACAGAAATGACACGTCATATATTAATATTGAGGGAGCGGAGCGACAGCTCATGGCTTATGCATACGTGTCATTGTGTTGTACAAGTGTGAATCCACCGAAAATCCGGGTTCATCCTAGATGCTTCTTTCCCTGCCCTATATACGATACAATCTCCCTTTCCCCTTTTCATCCGCACAGGTATTCCGCAGACTAAACAGAATATCGATTCCAAGTATGTCGCTCATCCCAAGCTTCTTTGGCAATCGACGAAGCAACATTTTCGATCCTTTCTCTCTGGACCTGTGGGATCCCCTTGAGGGCTTCTCATTCCCCGGCACGGTGGCCAACCTGCCGTCCTCTGCTCGGGAAACCAGTGCCATAGCCGGTACCCGCGTGGACTGGAAGGAAACACCAGAGTGTCACATATTCAAGGCTGACCTTCCGGGGCTGAGGAAGGAGGACGTGAAGGTGGAGGTGGAAGATGGAAGGGTTCTGCAGATCAGTGGGGAGAGAAGCAGAGAGCAGGAGCACAAGGACGACAGGTGGCACCGCGTTGAGAGGAGCACTGGCAAGTTCATGAGAAGATTCAGGTTGCCTGAGAACTCTAAGATGGAGGGGGTCAAGGCTTCTATGGAAAATGGGGTGCTCACTGTCACTGTGCCTAAGCAGGAAGAGAAGAAACCTGAGGTCAAGCCCATCCAAATCACTGGCTAATGCTTCTATACATGCTTCTCCCTTGCCTGGGTCCCTAAGGGTGAGAGCTATCTGCTGCAGTGTTTCCGTTCGGAACTGCGTTTTTTTTTTTTTCTAAATTTGTTTTTGGCTTAATGCAATGTCATCAAGCAATGTTTGGCGTCTATAAAGCGTGCGCAAGTGGTTTTTGTTCAACGTCTATGATATAAAATTACTGCAGTTTCTCAGTTTTTGCCCCAGAAAATCGGTGATCCTTCACTTGGTACGGCGGATAAAGTAATTCCAGTGCACTTTTCTCCTCCGGAATAAAATAAATCAACAATCATCCCCAAAAGGAAAAACCTGTAACTTCATACCTCTACCTCTGCATTAAATGAAAACGATAGGAGAGTAAACAACACACATTTGACTCTACATTTTAGTTCTGTAAGAACATCTTTCTTTCAGGAAATACACCTGATTTCTTCTATTCCAGGTGGCCTTAAACCATTCTTATATTCTTCAGCATTGCGGCTTCGATCCAGTCGAAGCCCCTTTGCATCAGAAAAAACAATAACTCATAACAGAGCAGTATTCCTTTCCCTCTCTGCATGACGCAAAAATGAAAGAAAAACAGTTGACATTTTAATGTCGAGATCAGCTATCTAAACAATGCGCTTTTATAGCTAGATGATTCCTCGTGGAATATTTAATATAGCTCTCAACACATGGAATGTACATGATTTTTAGCATTCTTCTATCCCAGGTGGCCCTGGCTATTTTAATATTCTTCAGTACTGTGGCTGTCTAATTGAAGACGTCTCGCACAAGAAGAACAATATATGGGCACGACTCATAAGTAACACGTACAATGTAACGTTCCTTATAGTCCACAGACAGATGTGATCATATATCGCAACAAGACGGTAATGGTAAAAGAGGAATAGATTCAAGGTGTGAAAATGTGGCATCGACAACACATCAGAATCACACATTTATCTACGGAAAAGTAGAGATCGATCGATATAACAGGGGACACTTCTAACGTCAGATTGCTCTGTGATCATTTTCTAGTTAATTCAGATTTGCTCGTAACTGCAATCGGATCCTTCCGTAACGAATTTTAAATGACATTCCAGGAAGCAAAAGCATAGTAATCATTAAAACATGCAGTCAGATAGTCTAAATTGCATAGCGGAGTTCGCAATTCATTCCACACTAGGGCTTTTACATCGTGATCCCCGACACCAGAGTCTCACACCAAGGGGAAAAAAAAGAAGAAGACATAGCTTCTCATCACACAGACAATTATTTCCCATATAAGACCCTAACCATAGCCATTGCTAGTTTGTACAGAGAACAAAAGAGACAGCACCTGAGATTTTAACCAGAAATTTCAATGAACCGGACGTCCGGCTCCTTCACTCCTTTCCTGGGCACAGTCACAGTGAGCACGCCGTTCTCCATCGCAGCCTTGACCTGATCAACTTTAGCATCCTCTGGAAGCCTGAACCTCCTGGAGAAGCTGCCACTGCTGCGCTCAATCCGATGCCAGGTGTCGGTTTTCTCCTCCTGTTCCCGGTTCCTTCGCCCGCTGATCTGAAGAATCTTCCCTTCTTCAATCTCCACCTTCACTTCATCCTTCTTCATACCAGGCACGTCGGCTTTGAACACGTGAGCCGCAGGAGTCTCCTTCCAATCCACTTCAGCGTGAGCAAAGGACGACATCTCAGAGGGGAAGCCAGAGAGGGGAAGAGTGGGCCATCCTTCGAAAGGGTCCCACGCATGCAGTGAGAATGGATCGACGGTGTTTGGTCGACGGCCAAACCAGCTTGGAATCAACGACATGGTTGTTGATTGCAGACGCAAAACGCAGAATTCAGAGAAAGGGGGAAGCCGATATTGACTGGAGAGAGTGAGTGGAGAAGGCAGAATATGGAGCGAGGGTTGTTCATGATCGTTCGAGAAGGTTCTCTTTTGGACCGTTGGGATTGCACGAGGTCAGGTCCGTGTGCATCATCAGATCATCTGAAACGTGCGTTGACATCCGTTATGAATTTGGAAGTGATGCTTATACTTACCGGCCACGCATAAAGCATCCAAGGACTCAGATTTTCAGGCCTGCGTTTTTTTTTTTACTTTAAATTAAATTTTTTTGCCAACTTAAATTAAATGATTTTATTACCCTCTCCATCCCTTATTATAAATAATTATCAGAATCACATTAGTTAAATTAATTAAAAGACTAGTTCAAAATTTTAAAAAAAGGAATTATTTCTTATATCTAGAGGTATTATTATGAGAGAGTTGGTTTTTTTTTTATAAAAAATAACAGGAAATGCTCTTGGGAAATGAAATCTAAAAAATAGTCGTGCTAATCATGTTTTGAAAATAGTATGCGAGGTTAAAATATTTATATTTTATATGAATATAAATTATATAGAAATAATTAGTCAATGTAAATCATTAAAATTTGATTTAAATTATCTAAGAGCAGAGCATTTCTTTGGCCGCCATATTTTCTGTCACTATTGGCCATAAAGTATTTCATATTAAAAGCTAGTTGACTAATTTAAACAGATTAAAAAGATTAGTTAAATTAATTATTTATAATAAATGTATTTTATTTTTTTTAAAATATCCTTACTAATCACTTATTAGTTAAAATTATTATTTGATAAAATATTTAACATATGTAATTACTATAAAAATTATTTTAAAAATATATAAATATAAGAGATAAAGTGAATTAAGAATTTATACTTATGATTAAATGGAAAGTTAAGTCATCATATTAAGGCGTGAAGCTAGTAATTCATAGCAGTACCCAATAAAAAAGAATGATAATTCCGGCAAAATAAAAATAGCAATAAAGTCAACTGCACATGGGGTTCACAAAAGAAAGCACTAGCATGAGTCGCCACATAAACCAAAAAAGCAAGAGGGAAAAAAGCATCAACAATGAACATTGAACCATGGAACTAAATGAGAATGGTGGGTTGAAAACCCGTTCCATAAAACTCGTTCTCGTGTTATACGACTCAAGCCTAATTGATTGTTTTAGTCATAGAAGTAAAGATCAGAGATTCATGTCGAACAGCGAGACTACAAATATCGCCAATCGACGCGGAAACTTGCTCATTCTGGACCCGAATCGACATTGTTCTCCTCCCCTCCCCCCCGGGGGGGGGGGGTTTGCCCTGAAAGAAATGTCATCGTCCGTTTCATAAGTTTTCCTTTCCATAGCCTCCACTAAACATTTCTCTGGATGTGTTTGAAAGCTTAGCATGAGATGGAATAGAGTGGGAGATGATGAAATGAAATGGATGGCTCCCTTCTAATATTTATTACTTTCATACGCACGCCATCATACACGTATTGTTAGACTATATGGTAGATCAAAAATCACAAGCATTGCAAGACTAGATCTGATTTTTATTGTGGCTTAAATCTCATTTCTATTAGATATAAACTCTCCCTTTTTAATTCATTCTATCTATTTAGGCTCTGTTTTTTTCTTCACTGTTCTTCTCTTGATACCTTTGTATTGTAGGGTGGTTTTAATTTCTTTACCGTTGGTTTTACTCCTAGGACTCTATCCAGAACCTTTGTATTTTATTCATTTTGCTGTTAAGATTGCTTGTCCTTTTTTCAAAAAACATTCTGTGTTTTCGTGATCAACCATGCACTAGAAAAAGTAAAGGAATTTAAGTTTCAAAATTTATAGCTCATCTAAACTTTGACCATGCATCATATGAGCTGACGGTCTATTTACAACAGGTAAAAAAGAGAGAAGAAAAATTGGGTTGACAGATTTACAGGTCGTCGTCGCTATCACTGGGACTTGAATCATCCACGTTAATTGCTGCCACTTTTGAAGTGCTAATCCTAAAAGAAGCCGAACGAATCTTAAACGGCAATTTGGGATTGCTTTGGACCACCCCACAGTCGGGTTCCCCTTTCCCTTCCTCTTTCTTCAGATCGCTAGGAGGCAAAAAGCAATCCATGGACAGTCCCTTGATGTTGAAATCCACTTCTTCAATCTCCCAAGCTTCTTCCATTCTCGTCCTCGAATGGCTTTCCGGTCCTTCCCCAAACCTAAACAAGGACACACAACTCTTCCCTGCGTGTGCTATCTTTATGCCATCTACATTTCTATAATCTTGTATCACAGATTCCATGGTGGTTTCCCAGAATATGCCGTCGTTTCCAGAGGATTTGATTCTGAGTAGGTGGGAGTCTTCTAGTTGTACCAACAGGCCAGTTCTTTGGCTGAAGTAGCCCCACATAGTGTGGCGTATTATCTCTACATTGCTGCTACTTCTTGCTCGAAGTGCTGAGGATTCGGCTTCCATTTTTAATATGAAACAGTCTTCGCTGTTCACTGTCTTCTCACCTATGCATATGGAGTTCATAAACAGGTTGGCCGTCGACCTTGGATCAAGACCCTGCTCAAAACGCCAGAAAGAAATAGTTCATTTTACAATTCATAAGGAGCCAGGAGCTGGTCGTAGTAATGTACGAGTTTGACTCTATCGACATCATATGTATTGATATATATTATATACTATTATGCTATTTCATTTGGGCTAATTAGTTACAGGTCTAGTACATAAAAGCCCGGTATGAACATTTACGTTTTAAAGTCTAAAGGAGGAAGAGTACAGGCTGTCACTACAGCTCAAATGGAATAATATGTCAACACCTTGATAAAAAGAAAGATATTGTTTGACTTTAAAGGAAGAAATTCAAATCCGCAATCCCCTCTTATTAGTTGACTTTTCTTTATCTAATTGTAGAACTTCGTTAGAGGGCTTCACCCAACAAGTGCAAATTTCTAAGGGACTAGAAGGAAAGTAGGTCAATTTTTTCTTATAGCCCGTGTCGTCTTCTTTCGTTTTCTTCCCCCCAAAACTAGCTTAAGGCGCGTTAGGGAATAGGCCGACCGCATTACCAAGTTCAAACCCTTTCTTTTGTCCAGACTTCAGATTATGGAAACAGGGAAGCCCCATCAATTAGAGAGTGGAAAGACCATTTGTGAAAACACTATAGACGAAGATAGGATGTAGTGAATCCAAACAATAGCCAGCCTTAATGAGCGTTGTAACGTATTTTAAGGCCTTTTGTTCCCCCCCCCCCCCCGGGGGGGTGGCAGGGGCGGGAGCCACGCAAACACAGTAGGGAACTTATCGGTTTAAAAAAAGTGGATTCAAACAGATTCCAACGCGGATAAGCTTGACTTAGCAGAACCTATAACATTAATTCAAGGAGAAAAAGGACTTTTGACCGTACTAATCTTGGTCTTTGACATGAAAAATTATCCAAC